GAGAGTGACTATTTACACCACCGTGGTGTAAATAAATTACAGGAAGTAATTTACACCACTGGTGCAAATAAATAACAAAACACTATTTACACCACATGGTGCAAACAAATGATAAAACACTATGTACACCACATGGTGCAAACAATACACGTCAGGCTATTTGCACCACCTGCCACCACTTGGCCCTTCCGAGCCACTTTAAGCAGAGTCGTCTTTATTCTTCCAATGAGAGGTCACGTTTTACAGGAGGTGGGATACTTTTTATCGAGAAAATTCGTCGTGCCTGTGCGTGACAAGAAATACACTTCTGCATTTTTTTTAAATGTCAACTTTCCCAAATCAAGAGCAGAAGACGCTCTAGCACTCTTCTCCGTACCAACCTTACGAAATTGTATTCCATGAGTTGAGGAATGTAAATTTAAATCAGACTGCTCTATCTGAACTTTTTAGTTGCCCAGCAAGTGGTTTTCATTTTGTTTTCATCGGGTATCGGACTCTCGGATCACGGGTTCACGCACCAACGCTTGAGTTTCCTTCGTGTTCCGTTGTCAAGCATGCTTCTTGTTAAACCGGTGTCAATTCGCGCGCGAGAACCGGCATCGGCAAGTCAAGATCTTCGAAGTGCAAGTGCCTAGATTTACCACACGGTTGTTTTGGATGAAATAGCCGATGCTGTTTAGTAATCATTATGGAGGTAAGCTTCAAAGTAGCGTGTCCAGTTCTCCAAAGTACAGGTGTTGTCTTAGGCTTCTTTTTTGTATCTTGTAACTTATTTGAAGTCTCTGTTGATGCCACATAACCTTATGCACAGAGAAATATTACTCATTACTCATGAAAATAAATCATATTTGCTCTTTTGAGATGTCTATGCTGTTAATCTAATAAGTGTGGGCGTATATTCTACCCGCTTACTGCGTTGTTTTTATTTTTCAGGAGAACGAATTAACATTTAAGGAGAACCAACTCTTCAGCTCCTTTGCTGAAGTTGACAGCTACTTTGAAGCATACAACAAAGCACATTCCACTCTATTTTCAATTGGGAGAAGTGATCTGTGCCATCTTGATCCAGTTCTCAAATACAAATATGTTGTTTTTACATGCAAGCACTTTGGAGACAAAAGGGACAACCCGAATGCAACTGGACAGCGTGCCAGACAGAAGTAAATAATTTGGACTTTTATATTGTCATTTGTGGTACTACTAGTTATACTACTATATTCTGTGTGATTGTTTTGTTTTCTTCAGAACCTACAAAATTGGGTGTGAGGCCTTCGTGCACCTGACAAGGCAGTCCAAAATTGGGAAACTTAAAGTGTACAAGCTCCGCCTTGATCACAATCATGATTGCAATGAAGTGACAGTGTCAGGTTACCCAGAAAGCCGCAGACTGTCAGATTCTTCGAAAGCCAATGTGTTGGAATATTCCAAACTGAAAGCCAAACCCACATTGGTGAAGCCATTGCTGAGACAAAGTGAAGGACTTAACAAGATAATTCTTAGCAGGGATATATCTAACGTTCGGTTGGTTGTCTCACTTTAAGCTGGTGTTAATTGTTCATGACTCAAAACTTTCATTTAATATTTCTTTTGCAGTACCAAAGCTAAACTCTTACTCAGAAACGGAAGAAGTGATGAGCAGATGCTAATTGATAAATTGGCAGAAGTTCACGCAAAGGATCCGAATGCTGTTTCTCATATTGAGTTTGACCCTGTTTCTAAGGAGGTAATATTTATACTCCTACAAACTAGTGAGATGAGGGAAATGCTGAAGCAATTCCCTGAAGTAATTTTGATGGACATAACGTACAAGATTAACAAGAACCGCATGCCTGTCAGTGTAGTCGAAGTAATGGATGAAGAAGGATTGGGTCAAGTTGTTGCCTACATATTCTTGGCAAATGAGCTTAAAGAGACACTCACATCTGCACTCATGTGCTTTGCTGATGCAAGTGGGAAAGAAATCTTGGACCAAACTAACTGTGTTGTAGTTGACAAGGATTTCTCTGAGATTGGTGCTGTGAAAGCTGTTATGCCCAACGCCAAGATTCACCTGTGCAGTGTCCATGTTGAAAGAAATTTGAAGGGTGCTGCAACAGGGGAAAAGAATCGCAAACAGGCTATTGCTGCCTTCCATGATATGGTGTACTCAGAAACTGATGACGAGTTTCAAACTCACTTGTCAAAATTCCAAGAAGCAGCCTCAGTCAAGTTATACTCGTATTTTGATAAAAATTGGCTGAAGTGCAAAGAGGCTTGGGCTTTAAAAGACCGTATTCTTGTGAAGACACTCAGAAATCACACTACCAATCGTGTGGAGAGCCACAATCAGAAACTCAAAATGGTAAGTTCTCGTACCCAACATTTTTTAGTTGTTATCCTTCTCTCAACATTTAAAGTTAAAAGTTACTTGGTTTTGAACTTTAGATCTTCAGTTGTGACACAGAATTGTATGACGCAATTGATGGTATAGTTAACATCCTAATGGAGAATAGAAGAGACGACCTTCGTTACAGAGCGCATGAGACTCTCACAAAAAAAACTTATATTCTCAAATGCAGCAACCCACTTGTTTCTGTGATTTGCAACGACCTTTCTGAGTTTGCTGCCAAACTTGTCAATGAGCAGCTTAGTCTTTCAGGTGGTCCCTCCCCTTTTCCTGACAAGTACCAAGTTTCAGAGAATTCTTGCTCTTGCAGCCTCTTTATGACCATGGAGCTTCCCTGTCGCCACATCATGCGACTCAGAAAGGAGAAAGGTGAGTTGGGCTGCAATTGTTCTTTGATTTTAAATTGGTCACTCAGCATGCGATGCGGCATGGCTATATTTTACTTGTTTGTCTCTGTTGTACCTTTTTTGTACAGTATGTTGTATGCTGTTCTAATTGTGTTCATCAGTATTAGTTACATTGGCTTTCATGTCTCCTTTTTCTTTTAGGTTTGCCAGAATATGACAAGAATATTGTATCTAAGAGATGGTGGTTAAAACCCAGAAACTTTGGTAAATCTACAGTGGAGGGAGCTAATAGTACAGTAATAAAAGCAAGGATGCCAGCACAGCGTGTAGCCTGTGTAATGAATAGCCGAGAGAAGTTCCGTGAAATAGCTCCTCTCACTCAGAAAATAAACAGCCTTGTAACTGATTCAGGAACCAAGACTTTCCATAGAAGACGCCAAGTTTTAAGCGACATTGTGCAAGCTTGGTCAAATGGTGAAGAAGTATCCCTTGTGCACGTCTCCCACACCAACCAAGAAGGTAAATAACTGTCTGAAGTGTTATGGGCAATTTTTTTCCCGGGACTGTGAATCAATATATATTCCCCACAAATTTATTATTCTTTCTATATCTGTTGTAATTGTTTTCAGTTTTTACTGATATAAGAGCACAACAGGACTCATCTCATGACAGTAAGTATTAGTGCATGTGATACAATGCAGTGGTATAAACATTCTTCAAATGGATTTCTTTACAGCTCCCTTCCAATTAAACTTTATGAAAGTTGCTGGAAAACCTCGTGGGGTTCAAGAAACTGTACATGATGGCAGTAAGAAGAAAGGTAACTGAGTTTATTTAAGGTTTGCTATTAAAAAGACATCTCCAAAGACATTAATATTTTTTCCTCACAAAATCAGGGCAGAAAAAACAAAAAATGGTTGTGTCAATTGATGATGACCATTCACCTGATGACCCTGATCCTACTGGTTCAAATGGTGAAACTGATGCATCTGTTCCTAATGATCCAAGAGATAAAACACATGAGCCTGGCAAAGACAAGGAACCTGATTGTTTTAAGCTCACAACTGTGGCAACAAAAGGCAGGCCTGCCACCACTCATAGCAGTAAGAGAAACCCCTCCCTACCACACATTGACTGAGCATTTGTCTGTAGCTATTCTTATGCTATCGCTCATAGAATGCACTTCAATACCTCTAATACTGATTTAATTATAGGGAAAAAAACTTGGAGCTATCAATCCCTTGCTGATGAAGACAGCTCAAAATGCTGTATTTGCAAGGAAGATATAGCCAGCCTCGACTTCTGCCATAAATGCCACAACGCTGTGCATGCACTTGTCCCCTGCTCAACTGAAGACGAACGGGGTATTAGGCTCTGTAATTTCTGCTGTGGTAAGTTTCTTAGATCCAATTTCAATTATATTTTCCTGGTTTCCTGGCATAAATATGTACTTAAGCTTTTTGTCAGTGTGAATTTATATATTTATGTTTTCATTTTCAGACTATAGTGTAGGCTCCCAAGATGTAGATGAGGCCTATTTGTGTCTTGGCTGCTCAGAATTGTTGGAAATGTAAGTTCAGTTATGATGCTCAACTACTTAACTTTTATTTGTATTGTGTGGTAAGCCCACAATCATTAATTTGATCTATCTTTGCTAAAGGACCATTTGGACTAAGTCTGGGAAGCGGCAAGGGTGCTTTTATTATAGGTGTCGAGCAGGAGAAACACCTAAATGTAAAACCACATTTGACTTTTGGGCACCAGGCGAGTATCCCTGAGTATTTTTTATCAATTTACTTAAATGACCAAGTTGTATACTTGTAGACTCCAATTATGACAGTGCTACGTTATTGTGTTAACATTAGAATCTTTTCATCTCTTCCAGGAATTGCACGCAAGCCACATTCCTCATCATATGACTGCCCATCACCGAATTCAGAAGAGTTGAATGAGGATGAAAACGATTCTGGTATATTGATGGCTCTCATGATTCCTATTCCATGTGCTTTTATTCAATCGTGTCCTTCTCAGAAATCTACTTTGTTTCAGAAAATGTTCAAGAGGGCCCAACTGCTCCAAACATTGAGCCTAACATTTCTGAGACACATGGCCCAGATTATGACTCTGATGGGACCCCGAGTGAGAACATTGAAGCTGACATGAGTGAAGCAGAATACTTTGATAACGACTCTGAGAGCCCAACTCAGAATATAATAGACGAGCTTAGTCAAGCAGACCAGAAAGGTGAACGAAAAGGCTCTTCTCTTGTTATTGTATGAGTAGTTTTTTATTTAATTGCAAAATCTTTTTTTTTTTTTTTAAGGATACGAAGCACAGAAGCATGGTTTTGTGGCTCAGGGAGGTCTGTCTCAAACAACAGTTCAAGATGGTAGTCAAATAGGTAAGTCTGGGAGGAATACCTCTATCCAAGTAGGTTTTTATGTTCATGTAGATGTATGTACCAAAGAATTTTATTTATAGATATTGTGAGCATAGAGGAATGGCGTAAACAGTGTGAAATATGTAACAAATATGGTGAAGATGCCTTTAATTACCTTGATTTCTGTGAGACTTGTGGGTCACCAATTCATACTGGTGAGAAGTCATGTTCAGTACCTTTTGGTACCTCTGATGATGATATGTGGGTCTGTCTTAAGTGCAGCAAAACACCAGAAACAAGTAAGTGAGAGACTATCTTTAAAAACCATTCTTTTAACTGTACTTAAGGTGAAGAATGTCCTATGATGAAGGTGGAAAAATTATGATGGGTTGTTTCATCATTCATCAGTCGTGTCCTCTTTCGGTTTTTGATGTGTTTTCTTCGAATTTAATCAAAGGATTGTTCTTGTTGTCAGCTTGGTCTTACTCAACAACTTTAATCAATTCTTTTGAAAACGAGCTCCTCTGCATTTACATTTGGAAAAAAATAGTCCTTTTCAGGACTGATTTGTAAGTTGTTATCTCGTTTCTGTGTCATGTGTTGGCTTTGCACATTTCTCAGTGCTTTTCTTCAGTGAACTACTTCTGTCGGCATTGTTGATATTCTTCTTTGGCTGTTGCACAACTATGAATTGCTGGGTCATCTTACAGACTGTTTCATGGTTGGTTTCTTCTATGCCACCTTTTCTCAATTCCCTATTCTATCTATTTCATTTGTCACATCATTTGTTCTGCTCTGCCTCATCCTTGCTCCCATTGTGTATATTTCCCTTGAAATGATCTGTTGGACTAATTTTCTATGAGGCAATTAAGTAACACTCAGTGCCAGATCAACAGAAATTACTTGAGTTTCCTCTATTTCTCAAAAAGAATCATGGCTGGTTTCTTCTATGCCACCTGTTCTCAATTCCCTATTCTGTCTATTTCATTTGTCACATCATTTGTTCTGCTCTGACACATCCTTGGTCCAATAGTGTATTTTTCCTTTGAAATGATCTGTTTGACTAATTTTCTTTGAGACGCTTAAGTAAAACTCAGTGCCAGATCAACAGAAATTACTTGAGTTTCCTCTTGTTTTCAAAAGGCTTAGTCTAAAAGTTTTGCATGCCTCTTCTTTTTTTTTGCTTGAACAACTTAATGGTTTTTTGTGAAGTAATAAATGTTTTCATGTTATAGGGAGGAATGCTCATTCAGGATCACAACCAGGAGACAAAATTTCTGCATCAGGTATTTTTATCCTCCTTTCTCTAGCTACTCCTATGATTTCACTACATACATTTATAAATTTTTTCAAATTTTGCAGACAACATTGAAATAATTGTAATAGACTCTGACTCTGACTATGAGGCTGAGTGTCCTATTAAAGAAGAATTTGAAAATTCTAACGTCTCAAATGCAGAGTTAAACCAAGTATTTGATGGTATGCTCCTGACAAATTTAGCTGTGCATTTGGAGATACTTTGATCTAATCTACAGTTTTGTTTTGTCCAAGTCCTCTCTTCTAGCGGATTGATTCAAGGAAATTTACCTGGAAATTGTGAGAAAGTTGCCAAGAAACCCGCTTACAAGAAAAATTGGAAGTGCTTTACTTGTGGGAACCGAGATTTGGAATTGTAAGCACTATTTCCTGCTGCAAAGTATTTCCTATTTTGTTGATTTAAATAGGAATGGTTTTAAGATCTATGTGACCGTTGTTTTATTCTACTCCAGGAGATCTATCAAAACACCGGGGAAAAACTTTCAACGAAAGTACTACGGCTGTTTTTCAAATAACCAGTGTACTTCTGAAAAGCCATTTTGTTTCTGGGCTCCCAAAAAAGGTAAATCATAAATCTATCTATCAGGTTGATTTTTAACCTCATCCATTTTAATTTGCAAACGAGGTCACTCTGCAAAACTCTGAGATGGAAGTAATACCAGCTGTATCAGAATTGGTGGGAAAGCAGAGTTAAAAGTCAAATAGACAATTAAATAAATCTTCATAGTTACTCCCAATTTTGTTTTGAAATATGTCTCTTTATGGTACAGTAATTTCTATTATCTACAGATGATTCGTCTGAAACACTTGTCCTTCCAAAGGATAGAGGTAATGTGACATTGCGCAGCAGGAAAAGAGGTAATCTAATTTTTGTCATGTATTTGTCTGCTATGTATTTTATTTCAGTATGATTCTGCCAATGGCATGTTTTTCTTAACTCCACATCTCTTAGCAGGTGCCCCCTTCAGGTCAAATAGTGAGCCTGTATCTATCGGTAAGTTTTCTTCCCCATTTAACAGATTCAGGTACTCTCTATCCATGCAGTCATTTTGTTTATCATGTATCACAGTAAAATTAAATGTATTTTACTTCCTTTTTTTCCCTTTAATTTAGGCGACTCAGCACCTCAGGTGAATACTCTTTTACATGTAGTGATCTGTATCTAAGATTCTATAACATGATTCATACATGAGCATATTTCTTTTCTAGGGAGACAAAAGGCCAAAGCGACAGACAAAGTTACCCGTCTACCTTAGGAAATCATATGAGTTTAATACACCTAGAACTTCGCTTGATTCTCCTTAGTATGTTTGTTTTGCTATGTTTTATTCGTTTTATGCATGACAAATTGTTTCTTAAAGAAGTATTGTTTTTATTTTCCTTGTATTTTACTCAAAGAGTTGATGTAAGGCATTTTATTGGGGTGAGT